GTCTGCTGCAGCGCCGTGCCCGGGCCGTGCCCGCGAACACGCGAGTCGCTCCTGGCTCCAGCCGAGGCGGGGGATAGTTCCTGCCATGCCCCGATGCTCCCCCGCGGAGGCTGGGGAAGCATAAGGAATGGGAGCGCCGCTACCCCGCGCTTGTGGATTTTTGTCGTTCTTTGCAATGCAAGGCAAAGCAAAGGGGCAGAGCACAGTCACTTAAAACAACGTTTTGGGAAGATGAGAGCAACAGGGCAACTAAAGGAGTTGCCAGGAATTAAGCCATTTCCAGCTGCTGGGTTCTTAAGAAACAACTGCTAAGAGACTGAGCAGTTCAGACAACAACTTCACAGACGCCAAACTGGACTTTCAGTGTGTTTCTTGCCAGAAATAAGTAAGTAAATCAGTACTGAGCTCAAGAAGAGTGAACATAAATAAAAGACACAAGAACTGAAGAAAACAATGTCTGGAATTTCCACCTCAAGCCCATCTGAACCGCAGAGTGTGCAGCCAGCATATGTACACAAGGGTTGCATACGTATGCCCAGGACGTATCTCAGCTGCTTGAGTGAACATACGGAGCCGTTCAGGGCATAACCTCCCTCTTCGCAGGAGTTCACACACACAGCTCCCAGTTAAGAGTTAATGTCCTTCACACATTCAGTGCCCAACCAATAAAAGTATCTGGCCATGTTCAAAAGTTCTGAATAAGTAAGACTTACTGTATTGAAAAGAACACTTAAAAGAAAACCTCGCGCCAACAACAAACACAAGAATGGGAGAAAGTAACTGAATCAATGCATGTTTCAGCTTTAACAACAAATCCACCAACATACAATGAGAAAATGTAAACAGTACTGTCAAATAAAAAGCTGTATGACACAACTGGAACAAAGAGCAGAAACACATGAATTATAGAAAGCTAAACTAGAGTTATTAGATAAAAAAAACTTTAAAATGATGGACTATATAAGGAAAAATGTATTAGCAGTGAGGGTGACAGAGCACTGGAACAGGCTGCCCACAGAAGTTGTGGAGTCTCCATTTCTGGAGATCTCCAAGGGCTGCTTGGATGCAGTCCTGTGCCACGTGCTCTATGTAACCCTGTGTGTGCAGGGGGGTTGGACTAGATGATCCCTAGAGGTCCTTAAGGATTCTATGGTTCTATATCTTCTTTAGTATAATTAATAATACCAAATGCTGACTGTGGCATTTCACTTGCAGTCAGAAAATTCATTGAGGTTACCTCTTTACAGCTGCATGAAACTGAAATGAATTACCAATGGATCTGATTTCAGGAACATGCATAATGCAGTTCCTGGAACATCATTCATCCTCTTGTGCAAAATATACATTAATTCTCTTTGAAACCAAGTCACATCATAGCATGACACTCATTTCAAAAACATATTGAAATATATTAGTTATTTTCAAGAAACAGTACTAGAAATATTATTTTCAACAAATAACTCAAGACCTGTAAGAGACCCTGTTAAGCCCTCTTGCACAGAGCACAGCTAAGCCAGAAGCAGTGTGCATTCAGCAGCAGCACACGGTCAGACCCTCCGCTCTGAACCTCTTCTGTTGAGCCATTGATTTTTCCTTGTTCTGCGTGGCAAGTTTATGCATCTTGGTCTGCTTCTCAAGACCTGACATTAGTGTGAAATTCACACCTTGACATGCATGGCCAAAGAGTATCTTTACTGGGTTGGACCAAGTGGTTTGCCTCTGCAGTTCTAGTCTGTGGTTTGGAAATGAGGATCCAAACCACAGGTGATGCACAGATTTGTACCAGAGTGTAAGTGTTCCCTACTGCATCTGCTATTCCTTTTGCAGTGCTAATGTTTGATCAGCATTTGGTCTCTCATTTTTCACTCACACTATCATGCAAACAAGTCTCCCCTGGCCTTATTTGTCAAAGTGCCACAACTACCTCACACAAGTGACTCTCAAAGCCATCATCTGATCAAAGTCACCTCAGTCATTCTTTCTTGTCTGGTTAGTCAAGCCATTTACAGTAAAGTAATATGACAAAACTAATTTAACTCAACCTTCAGAACAAAGAATGTTATCCCTACCTATAACTCTCTAGGACTTTGATCCTCATCCACATAGTCTGCATAAGAGCCTTGATCCTGCTAGTTTTATTTTGAACACTAAAAACCCAAGGCAGTCCTATAAACTTCCAAATTTTTGTGGGCCAAGGTTTGAAGGTTCTCTGCACACTAACTGTTAACATTTCTACCTCAGATATTTGTCTAGCCAGAGCTCAGCTCGAGGGATGCTTAGGTAACAGTAACAAGAGGGTAAATGTATATGATACTTTCCCCAAATATCCTTCCGCCTTTCAAGAATTTTTAGATGAAGTGAGTTTCTAAGCCAGGTATTTCAATTTTTTGTAGCATTCAGTGGATTTCTCTTGCACTTTTCTCTTGCATTTGTACTTGCCCAGGCTTCCACGCACCACAGCAAACTTTTAATGTTGTTTGGCCACAAGATCCAATATCTTTTACCTGTGGTGTGGGGTCTTTTTCTTTGTTTTAAACCTTGATTCTGCTCACTTCATTTGATATCCTCTAGGTCTTGTATTAGGGGGCAGAATGAACAGTTAATGAGCATTGGCTTTATCTATGTTACTGAAGATAGCTGTTGCATTCTCCTAAAGTTATCCATTTACAAGTTAAATCTACTTAGTTGTTCCTTATAGAGAAGCCATCACCAGGCTTTGAAACAAAAAGGATCTCTCTCTAATATTATGTCCAATATTTTACAAAATTAAACAACAGTAGCGATAGCATTGGATGAAGAAAGAAAATAAATTACTCATAACCTGACGTTGCTACAGAAAGTAAATAGAATAATTTTTATAGTAACAAAACATTGTGATAATAAAGAACTAATTTAAGACACTATGATTAAGCGGGTTCACTCTTCATCCTGCTTATCTAATTCCTGCTAGAGATTACTTTTCAATCCATCATAAAAGTCAAATGATTTATGAAAGAGATTTCAGGCATGGTCTGCAAGAAACTGAAAAGTGAAAGAAAGAAGCACTGAGAAACTCATTTCCATATGAGGCAGCAAATTGTTCTGCAGAGATTTGTACGGTGAAAATCTTTTTGCAAAGCTCATTTCTTTAAATTAGGATTACCAGACCAAATTCCTATCTACCATACATGGAAACAGTATGATCCACTTCCATAGCAGACAAATATGACTAGATGAATCACAAAGATAAACATCAGCAGACCTTCCTTTAGAATATGATTAGTACAAGAGTACTGCCTTTTTTGTTGTTGTTCCTAGTTGTTCATTTTATTTATTTCATCCTCTAATTTTACGCAGAAACTTACCTGAAAGGGGAAGAGAGAGTTTCTGGGCACACACTGCGGGGCTGAGGGATTGGGAAGCCAGTTCCTTAGGACTGCTTCGACCCAGCCAAGAGCGTGTAGTTGTTGAGAAGCCTCCCTGGCCTCCTCTGCCGAGAGCAGAGGGGAGGGTCACGGTTACAGTGATGACACCCCCACAACAGCCCTGAAACTCTCCCAGAATGAGACCTGGAGCTGTCCAGACCTTAAAAACAGATTTTGTTGTTCCTATCCAAACAGGCTGAAATATGCCAGTAAGCCAGTCTGAAATGATGAATGTTAGATGACTTAATCCAAAATTCCTTAATAAGAGGTACCAAAACATGGCACAAGGAGTATAGTGAGGAGACAGCAAGTCATTGATTTCATCATTCTAAGTTATATTGAGTCCTATGGCAAAAAAAAAAAAAAAATCTGTCCCAGCAGCAATTCTAGTATGCAGCTCATATCAAAGCTCTGTCTCTAAGCAACTCTTTGCAGAATAGTGTCCAAATAAAACCATTTGAATTAATTTATGTAACAAATCAGCCTTGAAGTTCTCCAATGTAATAAAGCTGTTTATGACTTTGAACCTAGCTATCTCATAGTCCTTGCAACTTACAACAGATACAGTGATGTAACTGCCTTTGCCATTAGTATGAAATTGGTTCAAGGTTGAATGCAAATGCAGTTACCCAAAGTTCAAGAGTAC